GGTGGTGTGGTGACATAGGAACTCTCAGTCATTGCTGGTGGCCTTGTCCACATGTACAGCCACTGTGGAAAGTGATTTGGGGATACCTAAAAGAGATGGAAATCAAGTTACCTTATGACCCATCAATTCCCATACTGGGCATATGAAAAAATAAGAAATGACCAGACATCTGCTCTATAATGTTAATCGCAGTGCAGTTCATGATCACAAAGAATTAGAAGCAGCCTAAATTTCCATCAATAGATGATTGGATTTTTAAATCTGGTATATTCACACAATGGAGTACTATGCACCCCTAAAAAGTGATTAAAACATGAAAAACCTCCACTTGCGGAAAGAGTTGGAGGATGTTATGCTGAGTGAAGTTAGCCAAGCACAAAAGGACAAGCACAACATGAGTCCACTGAGAAATTTTCAAACAGCACAATGGGCATGGGGCAAATGCACATAACATACAGTTCTTGGGTTGATGACCAGATACTCTGGCAAGAGCCAGACCAAGCCTAATAATGTATAGACCATCACCAAAAAAAAGAAAGAAAGAAAAAAGATGCAGATAGCACATCTCCTGAAAGACATCTCCCCTGACATTACCCACTCCCATAGGTTTTTATGGCCCAAAGAGAAGTGCAGGTAGAAAAAAGATGGTAATGAGGGACAAGGGCATTAATCCACCCAAGGAGAGGGTATTGTTTATGTCTCCACAGGAGAGGGAGAGTGATAGTTAAACTCATCCCTGTGTACCAATCCTTGAGGATAATGCACCTGCTCAGAGAGGACTGGAGATCTGGTCTCAGCTCGATACAAGATGTCCCCTCCCTAAATGACTGTGCTACAGAGGACAGCACTGAAGATATAGTTCATGAAGAGTCTGACCCAGCCACATGGGAAAAACCAAAGGGCAGTGCAACAGACCAGCAATGGGAGCAAAATCAAAAGTCCCTAAGGAATCCCAATGGTAGACTTCCAACTCATGGGGCAGTGCTTAGCACCTCCTTTGAACTGGTTGGGGGTTATTCACAAGGGGACCACACTTAAAGTCTAAAGGGCAGGTGGAGGCACTAGACCACACTACCCCTGACTGCAGGAAGAACAAGGGGGAGATTTATAGGAGGTGTGTCTCTTGGTCTCGAATGCTGAGTACCCAATGGTTACAAATGCTGTTAGGTAGGCAGGTGGTGGGATTAGGAACCCTGAAGGAAAAGGATTATTATAACAGAGCTTGCTCGCTATTTAACAGAGAGATACTCACTCACTCTGGGACAGGATAAGAGTTTGACTCGGAGCTATTGGAATAGCCTCTCCTTATTTATTTTATTTTTTTTCTCTTTTCTTCTTTTGGTGTCTATCTATAGATGATAGGCAGGGTAAACAATCCCAAGGAGACAGTGACATGACTTATGGTTCCAAGGGGGAATGGGAGGGGAGAAGGCAGAGGTGGTGTTGTTATAATATATATACTTATAATTATATAAATATTGGTAATTTGTCTATATACCATATATACAAGTATAAGCCACCTTGAATAATAGCCAACGCACCTAATTTTACCACCCAAACTGTATAAAAAATGTGCTGAAAAACTAGGCTTATACATGAGTATATACAGTACATAAATACAACAAGGAAGCATATGGACTCTGGGTCTCTACTTAAATCCGACCTCAGTACAAGAACAACTTCGAATAATGTGACATTGTATGATACTCACTCTTCTGACATAATCGGTAAAGACAAAATGGTTGCACAGCATATATGGTGTAGAAAGCTGGTGGTGCCCATTTTTAAAACATAGAGCGTCTGAGGTCTTAAAGGCTCAAAGTTAAAGAAGCAGCTATCTGGCAGGGAATCAAAGAAAACCCATGTGGAAGAAACAAAACAGCCTGTGTGCTCATAAGGTGTCCACGGGAATAGGTATCAGAAGCTCAAAAACAAGGACTCAAATAACCTTATATACTCCAGTATAAGCCACATTTTTGACACATTTTTTATGCATTTTTTGTGGTAAAATTAGGTGCCTCTGCTGATATGCAGGTTGGCTTATACTCTAGTATATACAGTAATTTGAAGGAGCATGGACAAATTGGAAACCCAAAACCCACTTTGGACAATCCCTTTCAGAAGGGCCACATGGAAGGGATGATATATCCAGGGTGTGGTATAGCACTGTTGAAACACCTAACAATCTTCTAGTAACTAGAGTCTTCTTCCTTAACATTTCCTCTCCTTACTAGCTTGGACTTTGTTTTGCCTCTTAAATCTTGTTAGAGCTACATAAATTCATTTGTACAATTAAGATCATTTGATGCATGGAAGCCAAGTTAGAAAACCCTTCAGAAATAGTAATGGGAGTAATGAATCCTTGAGAATATGGAAAGAAAGAGAGGTAGGAAGGGTTACTAATAGCAATAATAATTGTATAACCCCACTTGAGGTTATACAATAAAAAAGAATAACAGAATTGTTGGTGAATGGACACATTGGATGGTATAATATATGGCAATCTATATAATATATATTATTATATTATAATAACAAGGGTTCCTAGGTGTGTTGGGAGGGGTGGGTACTGCAGGAGAGGGAGGGGAGAAAGGGGAGCTGATACCAAAGAGTTCAAGTAGAAAGAAAATATTTTGAAACTGATGGTGGCAGCAATTGTACAATTGTGCTTGATCTAATTGAATCATGGATTGTTATAATATATGTAAGAGCTCCCAATAAAATGATTAAAATATGATAATAATAAAATAATAAATGCCACTTCCTCAAGAAGATCCAACTCATTCTCCAGACCTGGAAAATAGAGTATTCTCAGACTTTCTCCCAGGTGTGCTTATCACAGTACTAATTATGTGTTGTTGGTGACGTTATCTGCTTATTATCTGCTTCCTAACTAGATATACATCACAAAGACCCAGTCATGATTCACAAAATATATACTAAAAAAAGTTGGATAAATTGAGTATCTCAATATCAGAATCACTTTTCCATTTTAGTATAGAAAAATATTATGCACATTCAGATCATATAACTAACTTCTTTAATCCAATTCAGTTATAATATGTAATCTGAACATTTTGGAAAGCTGTTTATAAAGTACATTAAAAGAGAATTCCCCAAATATTTCAAGATGAGTAAAAGAAAACTTAATGGATTTATGTGGAAGATGCATTTGACAAGATTTTATTGACTCTAAGGGCCAGATCAGGGATTGTTGCATTCAATTGCTTATGAGGTATGTATTAGTCAGAGCTGGGTGGCATCTACAATAATAAGAAGGAAAAGAATGAAGAAAAAAATGTATGGTGTAAAAGTATGTTGATTGTAAACTATCATTTTATTTTCTTTGTTTACCAGGTGCATTTTTGGAAAATTTTAAGCAAGGTGAACATATGTCTGAGGCAGATTTAAAAAGTTCTGGAAATAATTCATTATTTTTAAATTATAATTTCCCACAAGCTTTCAAAGCTGCCTCATATAATATTTCAAATAAGATATCCATATTCATCCATTTTCTATATTTAAGTAGAATGTCAATTTCTTCTTACATATATTTAAGTTGAACAATCTTTTAAAATTTTAATTTCAAAATAATTATAGACTCACAAGAATTAGCACAAGGAATAAATGGGAATTTTGTATAATCACCCTACCCTGATGTTAATTACTCACATAACTATAGTATGAGATCAAAACCAGGAAGTTACTATTAGTCTGACAGACATTTATTCTGTGTGTGCATGCTTGTATATATATATGTATATATATATATATCATCCTAATTTTTTTGAATATGTAGCTTTAAGTAACTACTATCACAATTAAGATAGCTAATTCCACTAATAGTATGATCATCTCTCATGTTATCTCTTTATAACCACACTATACACACACCCTAAATCCTTAACCTCTGGCAACCATTCATTTCTTCTGTATCTCTCTAATTTTGTTATTTAATGAATCCTATACACAATGGTAAGGATGGTGCAGGAGAGGGGAGTGTTTTTCTGTTGTGCATAAGGTCACTGCAGTTCAGAACCAACTTGATGGCATCTAACAAAACAACAACATGCAATTGGAATCATAGAGTAAACATCTTTCTGAATTTTTTTTTCATTTAGCATAGTATCCCTGAAGTTGTGTTAGTAGTTAATTCCTTGTTATTGTTGAATAAGATTATAAATATTTCTAACATTTTTATTTTAAATATTGTCATATTACACCATATTACATAAGAATAGTTTTATCGCTATATATTTGTTTCTTTTGAATTTGCTGATTTAAACCAACACTGTGTTGTAACAGCTTCAGATAGGTATATCCACATCATTTATGTCCACTTTTCAAATATTTTTAAATCTCTGAAACTTTCCCTGTAGAATTATATGCAACACAATCATTTTAGAGGACTTTGAAGAGAGTACATACTTATACAAACCATAGGAATGTTCCATCTAGTCTATGTTACAGTAAAAATCTATAGTATTATGGAGAACATTTAACTAAAGGGCAAGAAGATTTTATTTTAAAAAAACAGTGTAATTACTTTTCACAATGATTCTTAATGAACAACATCTAAGCAATTTTCTAGGTTTAACATTTTTTAATATTTTACTATTTCTTTTCAGAGTAGATCAAAATTAAGCATGTTGAGTGGGATGTAAGATGTATATAGAAATATAATTAAGTATGTACTATTTGAAATGGAAAAGGTATGGCAGTATTGGTAGGGGTATTTCAAAACAATTTTAATTGTTCAAAAATATGAACTTATTAATAGTTATTAGCATCTGATCATATTAAAACACACAAAAGCATTTTATCTAATTAACAATCATTTTAAAGACATACTACAAAAAATATGTATCTGTACTTGGGAATGAAGAAGAACCAGGGCCCAAAAATCACCTCTGCAGGTCAATGGGTGTAGGGCCATCAAAGACATTATGCATCAACAGGGAACAGTGGGTCTGTTCTGAGAGAAGAACAGTGAAACTTACCATCTTGATCCGTGGTCACTGTAATCGCTGTGAATGGCTTGGGAGAAAAACTCAATTCAGAAACTCCATTCATGGCTTCTATTTCAAAGGTATAGTTCACGTGAGCCACAAAGTCAAGTACTATGACAGAATTGTTGATGAGGCCAGTATGTCTCGGGATGAAGCGGAGTCCTCCTCCACAGTCCTCACACTGGCTGGTGTCTAAGCCACATTTCTTACAGATTATACTGTAAGTGAGATCTTTTCTCCCTCCTGTGTCACTTGGTGGGCTCCATTCCAAAATTAGGGCTGTTTCATTGATGTTAAAAATCACATTCCTAGGAGCTGAAGGTGGCCCTAGAGAAAAGCAATTAAGAAACAAATGTACATGTATAGGACAATAAATTATGCCGCTAAATTGAAAGTTTATCAATAAACACATGTTGCTCTTTCATATTTGTTCGAGCCTTTTCTTCTGATGGGAGCCAGAGGCGCAGATTAAACTCCCTGATCATATCTAGAAAGAGAAAAACCTTCATGGTGAAACTATCTCTGTCCTATATTTGGGTTGTGTGGATTCATTGACTATTATAAAAAGATCAGCTATCTAAAAGACATCTTAGTTAGAATTTTTTTAATGTGATAGAAAATTAAAGGGTGGCCACAACAGTAAAACTATAGGTATACAAAATCTGGTATGTTAATTTCACTGTGCTACGTGCTAGATATGGAATATCACAGAATGCATGATGCTGAGTAAATAGCTAACTAGAGATTTTAAAATAATGTAATCTATTGCATCTATCTGCTGAAAGAAATTTGGTTTGACATTGATTGTTGATTCCTCAAGGCTTCTCTTGGATTCCAAACTAAAGTCATTCATTTATGAAACGCATATTTTATTCACTATGAAGTACCAGATAGGAGACCTGCTGGAGCAGTGGCCTGTTAAAACAAATGGTTAGTGGTTCAAGCCCACCAGTCACTCTGCAGATGAAAGAGGAGGCAGTCTACCTTGGTAGAGATATGCAACCTCAGAAATTCTACAGAGCAGTTCTACTGAGTTCCACAGGGTTGCTGTGAGTCAGAATCAACACCAGCCATTGGATTGTTTTGGATTTTATGTATCAGAGGGGTTATATATATATATATATATATATATAATGTTATATGGTGTGAGACTTGCATGCTATTAGTCATGAATATATATTTTTTGTATTGAATTTACTGAGACTTTAAGACTTTTCATTATATATTTCTAATTTCCCTTTTTTCCAGTGTTCTGATATCTAGAGCCTCCAAAGCAGGAAGCTTAGTCAGTCACATATACATTTATATATACCGCTTCTAACTAAACCAGAATACTGGATGGGTAAATGTTCCAAAAGGTTGCCGCATACCTGCTATTTTGGCATCTCATATTCTAGCAGGTTATAGAAGTGTCTGACTTTGAAAGGAAAATGTAAAAGATTATTAACTAAAGCACAGAGACTCATGTGGCTTTTTACCCCTAAGCTAGACTTAAGCTCGGGAAATAAAGACTCATTATTAATATCATAATAATGTCTTCTACAGAATGACATATTCATATTGTTGTTCTTTTCTCTTATGTGTAATGAAAAACATGAATTATGAGTCACTTACATTTCCCCGAATGGGAAGAATGTTATCAGTTCTGCTATGGGTGTATGCAAGTATATAACTGTCTTCCTGGAGACACTCACTAAAATAAAGGCAGGCACCCTTCTTACTCAAGGGCCCTGATACCAATTTGTATGACGATTAAATAGTTTTTTAATTGCTGTTAAATTATGCCAGCTAAACTGTGATTTCATGCAACTATTAAGCTGTAATGACAGGCAGTGAATCATTTACTAAGATTTAGATCTTGGAACAAAGATAGACAATTAATTCTAATCCTTAGATTCAACTAAATTATGTGTCACTGGGTTTTTATGAATGTGGTCTGATTTCTTTGTTATTATTTATAAATTATACAAGAGTGTAGCACACATTGAGAAAAACTGGCAGAATACCACTTTTGGAGATGTCTGTATTGGAACTCTCAGATATTTCCTCATGTTGATTTTTTTTTTAAGGACCAAAGCAATACACATTTAAGAAAAGTAATGTCCACTCCCTACTCTCAAAATTGACTTCCCCCAAAAGGAGCAATTATTCTGATTTTGCAACTATCTGTTTTCAGCTTCACCAAATAATAAGCCCTCCATAAAAACTGTAATTTTCTACTCATTTATAGAGAATACTCATTTCTAATCTTTCATTGTTTTGCTTCAACTTTGAGTTCCCCCTTTCCACTCTTATAGAATTAAAGAATAACAATTTTTAACAGTAAAATTCATGGAAGGCTTTTGACAGTGATATTTTTCCCTTTCCTCAAATGCATTTGACCCTCCATACCTCTAATATTTACACAGAGTTGTAAAATAGTTATTCATTGATTTTTAAATATATTATATTTAAAGTTTTAAAACATATAAAGAGCTTTTTAAGATAACTGTTTTCCAAAATATGTTTTGTGCAATACTTTCTTTCCTGTGAGATATCACACACACACACACACACACACACACACACACACACACGCATGCACATGCACACATACAAGTTCAATGATCAAATAAGATTCCGCAAGGATGCTAACAATGAAATAAGAGAAGCATATTTTTATTTACTTTGCTGAATCCAATATTTTCCACAGTTTTTGTCATAGGATCCAATTACCAGTCACATATGGATGAATTTGTGTACTTTAGTAGTCTGATATAGAAGGGGGATACATGGAGGGTCATCTATAAGTCACTACATCAATTGTGGCACATTTATAGATTGTATTTGTAATTGTCTGGATATGTTAGCTCATAAAATAACAGACTTTAAAAATTAACATTAAATGGCCAGTCTCCTGTAACTGTAATTTAACTGTGCTGTACAAATGTAGTTTTACATATGCACATTGAAAATTTGATTAAATCATAAAAGGCCATGGTCTATCAAGCTATATTTTGGCAGTTCTTAAGTTAATCCACCTTGTAGAAACCACATAGGAACAGAGTTTTGGATTTTTGAGTTTGAATGGCTTTATGGGAGCAGAAAATCACATCTTTCTGCATTGGAGCTGCTGGTAGAAACGAACTGCCCCAAGCTCTACCCAGTTTAGCAGGGTTGCTCTGAATCGGTACCATTTGGTGGCAGAAAATTGGTTTGTTGGCAAGAAGTTAGATGTCTTCATTAATTTTTTGACTACCAGATATGTAATAACCTAGCCTTCTGGTTAAAGGAAATTAACTCATATCTCAAAGCTTATAGATGAAAGAAAATGTATTTAATATGAGAAATGGTGAAAAGAACTATGCTTTCTTTATTTCTAAATCACTTTGTTATGTATCTGTAACATTTGTTCATAAAATATTGGTGTATTTGGGAATGGATGGAAAGAAATGAAAAAACTGGGTTCCAGCCAAACCACAGAGAAAGAACTAGATCAATTCATTTAGATACAGAAAAGTGGTCAAGGAAGTAACCATTGTCTGCACTTTGAGTTTTTACTATAATCGTCTCTACAAGGATTGCCGGCAAGAACATCTAGTTAAGCATTACCCAGCGGAATATTATGTGACCTATTACTGTATTACTAAACACAAACTTGTACAGACATACAAATTAGAGTGCAATCGTTGCTTTCTTATAAGAGATTTTTAAAAGAATACTATCTTAGGACATTTGAAAATAATTTTATATATTGAATAGCAGTTGAAATTTAACTTTCAAGGTGAATATAGTCAAATATGTAGCAATCTGTGCATTTCAAATCTCTTAGATCCCACAAATAAAAATGAAGAATTGCTTATTTTCTTCCAAGTTAATTGTACCTAACTTCAGTAATTAAAGTGTTGTTTTGGATCATTCTATTACTTATAAAATTCAAAGTCACAAAGAAAAGCAAAACAAAACAAAAAACTAATAAATCAATTCATTCGCAGAATAGAATCTTAACTTTTCAGAATTTTCCAAAGATATCTCCAACATAATTCTAAGTCCATTTCTTAGTCCCTTGATCCATCTTGCTACACCATAATACCTTTGATCACTTTTCCTGAATTGTTATGTTCCTTTTTACTTGTGGAAAATCCATAATCATCCATCAGATTCCAATTTATTTTTATCCTGTGTGTCATTTCTTCATTGTCTTCAGGTAGAACTGATCCTTAAAGACAATATTTTTCAGCACTCAGTCTGTTCTATGATGTGTACTTAGTATTTCACATGATTTATGTTATTCCAATAAATCTATAAGGTAATTATTGATACTCTCTTTTATGGAAGGGGGACTGACATTAAGAAAGATAAAATATAGATGATACTGAAACATTTGTACTCATCTGTATAATCTATGATGATATAACTTGCCCCAAGAGCAACCTGCTTTAAATAAGATCATGAGAAGAATGAGTAGTCTTTGTGTAAATCCCCACATTGTCCAAAGTTGACAAATAATAGAGAACATGGAATTCAATAGTATACTTTTTGTAAGCACATACTGTGAAATATTAAGGGTAGAGGCACAGAACTTTAACATCACTTCAGAAGTGGAAGACTGAGATTGACCACCAAAAACCCATAATGAAAGGGAAGGAACCCATCTCTCTGCTCATTGGCAACATTTACAAGACTCTCAAAATGTAATCCTGGGATACCTGAAATCCTAAACAAGTAAATAATCAGTACTCTCAATAGTTATTAATTGTTTCATCTATGCAGAAACATTCTCTTCAACATAAATCTATAACTGTTAGTAAGAACAGTTCAGTTGCATGTCAAAAGTTAAAGAGCTAAACTACAAGTGATATCAAATCATACTAAAATGCAAACAAAATACTGAACAAGTCAATAAGTGGCATTGATATGCAAAGTTATATATCACCGAATTCTCCTTGCACCATAAAACAATGACAACACCGAAAAACAAAACAAAACAAAACAAAAAAAAAACCAAAAACACCTACAGTATTTCTTTCTGTGTTTGAGAGAGTTACTCTTAATTAAACATCCACTAGAAGGGGGAAAGATCAACCTGAATAGGCAAAGCTCTGTCATAGTTTGAGAAGGAAAACAAAATAATAAATCGATAGATTAAAGAAATCAATAAACCTTCCTCAAACCAGTTATGGATGGCATCTTTCAGAATATGGATGTTGATATGGATTGAATTGTGTCCCTCTAAAAATACATGCTAAAATCCTAATTGCCAGTATCAGTGGCTATGTCTTCACTGGAAAATTAATCTAACATAAAGTCACACTCGAGTAGGATGAGCCCTAATCCAATATTATATA